TGCTTGCTCCTTTCGGCTTAGCTTATCATTATGAATCTGCGCACGTCTTGTTTTTTCTGTCGCTTGGTATTTTTTTGCCATTTCCAGAGCAATTTGGTGTTGGCGATTGATCTCTCGTCGCCATGCCAATGCCTCAGTCTGTTTCCCGACTCCTCGCTTCAGCGACGTCGTCATAGCTCGTAAGGTTGTGTGGGCATCCCAACCATGGACAAGATAAAATGGTGTCTCCTTGCGAGTCATATCGTGCGAATTGTTGATCGCAAATTCAAGTCGTTTGGCAATCTCGTCCCATACTGGAGTGGGTCTTCCACGTAAACTTTTACTGACTGCATCACCGTTTTCACCGACCGCTCCTGCTGACCATTAGCTTGGGGACGATAACTTAGTGTTGATCGAGATCGCGCTTGTATAAGTTCTGCGAACGCTTGAAAGACTTCGCTCATGAACCGTGGATCGCGGTCATGTCGTATTAGAGATGGAGCTCCAAATCGTCGATAAATGCTTTCTTCGAATACTTTCGCCACAGTCAACGCGTCTGTATCTGACATCGCTTTCGCAATAACAAATCCAGTAAATGCACATTGCCACAAGAGTAGCGCCGTATTTCCTCGTCGAGACGTTGGTAGCGGAATCACAAAGTCCATCGATACTACCTGGAATGGCCGTTCGGCCAGCACATTTCCAGGTGAATATCCTTTGAGTTGTGGCAGGCTTTTACTTGAGCTACAGTCTAGACATGATTTAACGTGTTTCTCCACGTCCGCATAGAGTCCAATCCAGTAGTAGTTCAGTTTTACCTTCTGGTACGACCGGACTACTCCTTGATGTCCGCCTTCAATAGAGTCATGGCAATTTTGGAGAACCTCCTGTATCATGGTTGTGGGCACGACCAGTCTCAACGACAACTCGGTTTGATCTTCATCCAGTTTACGCCTGCTTGGGCCCATAATATAGCAGATTGTCGCTGGAGAGTACGAACTTGTCTGCCCATTTCCATGCTTCCCCGGCCTCTTTATACGTCATCTTCTGCGTATCTCCTCTGAGGATCGCTTTCATCACTGACCAACGTTGTTCTTCGCCCTGAGCGACCGCTATCCGTCGCCGTCGTTCTTCTTGGACTGTTATTGGGTCAATGTCTTCCGCATTTGGTACCCATTGGAGCTGAGCCGATAGTCTGGTTGTTTCTGTGGTTGGTTCTTTTCTGGTTGTCTCAGTCGTAGTTTCGAGTTCGAGTGTTGCATTTGCGTTTTCAACTGGCTGTTCATCTTCAAAGTGGACTCGTTTTCAACTGGTAGTCTGACTCCTCGTTACGGCCGTTATCGTTGCATGTTCGTGCACGGATTTCTAGACGTCTGGGTCTTGTGCCCTATGGTTATCTGCCGAAGTGTCGTAGATCATTTCTTGGATTCTGTTTAATTCTTTGAGTTCTAGTTTCCGATGATCGCTCAATACAACTTTCGACACTTTGGACTCCAGGGCTTCGCCAGCTAGCGAGTCGGCTGCCGCGTTGTATTCTCGTATGACATGAAGGTATCTGACGGGCTTGAATTTGGCCGTGAGTTCTCGGTGACGGTTAAGCAGGGTAATCAATGAATCCTTTCGACATGCGATCACCCCTAGTGATTGTTGGATTGCGAGCCTTGAATCTCCGACTATGACTACGGTGTCAGCACCGAATTTGAGGGCTGCTTGGACCCCGTTATTCATTCCGGTGTATTCAGCCATGTTCACGGTAGTAGTTTCAAGGTAAGCACTCGCAGCGATCACTATTTG